TTGGGAGCCAGGACTCCTGGGTTCTCTCCCTGGCTCGGGGAGGGGAGTGGGGGCTGGTGGTTAGAGCAAGGTGGGCTGGGAGCCAGGACTCCTGGGTTCTACTCCCCGGTCTTTGACCCGGGCTCCCTGCCTTCTCCCCACAGCCCCATGGGTTGTGAGAACGGCAGCGAAATCTCCGAGTTCATTCTGCTGGGCCTGTCGTCCCGCCCAGGCCCTCAGCCCTTCCTCGTTCTCCTCTTCCTCCCGCTCTACGTGGCCGGCGTTCTGGGCAACTCCCTGATGGTGGCTCTGATCACGGTGGACCCCCGGCTCCACAGCCCCATGTACTCCCTCCTCCGCAGCCTCTCGCTGGTGGACGTGGGCCTGCTCTCGGTCACCGTCCCCCAGGCGCTGGCCCACGCCCTCTCTGGCCACCGGGCCGTGCCCTTCCACGCCTGCCTGGCCCAGTTCTTTTTCTTCTACGTCTTCGGCGTCTCCGACACGTTGCTCTTGGCCGCCATGGCCCTGGACCGCTACGTGGCCATCTGCGACCCGCTGCGCTACCCGGCCGTGATGAGCCCCCGGGTCTGCCGGCGCCTGGTGGCCTCCTGCCTCGGCCTGGCCGTCCTCCACTCCGCCTTCCACGCCGGGCTGCTGCTGAGACTCACCTACCGGGGCGGGAACCGGCTGCCCCACTTCTTCTGCGACCACCAGCCCCTGCTACGTCTGTCCTGCTCCCCGACGCGGGTCAACGAGGCGGCCATCTTCTTCGAGGGCGGCCTGGTCATCCTGGGGCCCTTTCTCTTCATTGCGGCCAGCTACGCCCGCATCGGTCGGGCCGTGCTCCAGCGGCCGGCCTCGGAGAGGCGCCGGGCCCTCTCCACCTGCGGCTCCCACCTCACCATGGTGGCTTTGTTCTACGGGGCCATCGTCGGGGTCTACTTCCAGCCCGGGGCCAGCTACTCGGCCCCCCGGGGGGCTGTCTTCTCCGTCATGTACACCATCGTCACCCCGGCCGCCAACCCCTTCGTCTACAGCCTGCGCAACAAGGACGTCCAGGGGGCTCTGAGGAGACTCATGGGGAGGGGGCGGTTTCTCCCAGAAGGCATGAGCCTTGGGGCCCTGGGGAAGGGGACTGGCTGGCTTAGGGGGGTGGGGAATGGGGCACGGGGCCTGTCCCCTCAAAGAGGTGTCAACTCCCATCCAGCCACAGCTGGCTCAGGGGGGCAGGGAATGAGGCAGGGGGCCTCTCCCCTCTAGGGGGAGCCAGCTCCCACCCAGCCCAAGGGCAGGGACTGGCTGGCTCAGGGGGGCAGTGAATGGGGCAGGGGGCCTTTCCCCTCTAGGGGGCGCTAGTTCCCATCCAGCCCCAGGGCAGGGGTCTGACTGGCTCAGGCGGGTGGGGAACAGGGCCTTTCCTGTCTGTCCATGATGAAAATACAGACCTTGAAAGCCTTTGGCCTGATCCAGGCTACATCGTCCCTGTGACACTGGCAGGCCAGGGGCGTTTGGCATTGGGACTTTATGGCGCGGCCGCAGGACGCCGTGTATTACCGGCATGTATTACCATGGTGCAGTGCCTGCTCTGTGACTATAGAAATGTTTGCTAAGACTGGGAACCCCCTGGTCAGGGGAGATGCGTCACCCAGGGTGAAACGCTCGGGTCCTCCCCAGCCCAGCAAACATCGGGCGCTAGATATCGGTGGACGTGAGCTCCCCTCATAGGCCTGGGATCCCCAGCTGGTTAGCCCTACAGACCGCAGAAAACTCACGTATTATAGCCCCTTTGGGCTGTCTCTGCATGGAATAGGACGCTGCATGGAACGGGGTGACCCGTTTATAATATTATTGAGACCAACCTTACAAAATTGCAACGAATCTTACCAGATAGGCCATGTGAGGTATCAGCGGGGAAGGTAGGATTGGCTAACTATGATAATCACGGCTCTCTGTAGGTATCATTAGTGTATGATGAGTTATAAATACGTGTGGTAGATTTGTACATCCAACTTGTGCTGTGTTTCTGGCGATTGGCACCGGCATGAGCCAGCCTGCTTGATGGCCCATCAAAGGCCATCAGCAGGACATGTAGGGCCAGGCCGGTGGACAGAGACCTCTCAGGCTTTTCCATGCCATGTGCTGTGAAGCTTGTGTTTGGGACACGGGATGTAGACGCCACATGTCAAAGGATATAAAAAGGCAGCTGCATCTTCTCCATTTTGTCTTCAGTCCTGCTCCTCCCCTCTGGAGTCACTTCTCTACACATTGAATCTATTTCCCCGTGTTAAATATCTTCACACCTCTTGGCAACTGGCTGAAATGGGCCATCTTGATTCTCACGACAAAAGTTTTTTTTTTCTCCTGCTGATAATAGCGCATCTTAATTAATTAGCCTCTTAGAGTTGGTCGGGCAACTTCCACCTTTTCATGTTCTCTATGTATATATAGATCTCCTCACTAGATGTTCCATTCTATGCATCCGAAGAAGTGGGCTGTAGCCCACGAAAGCTTATGCTCAAATACACGTGTTAGTCTCTAAGGTGCCACAAGTCCTCCTGTTCCTTTTGCGGATACAGACTAATACGGCTGCTACTCTGAAACTTCTCTACAAACTGAAGCTCTGAACAAAGGACTGACTGACCCATCCACGTGGTGGGTGTGTTCCAGAGGGACTTTACAATCCAGCAAACTCACCAATGCTGCTTAGAACCTGATATATAGACTTTGACATCATAGACTCATAGACTTTAAGGTCAGAAGGGACCATTATGATCATCTAGTCTGACCTCCTGCACGACGCAGGCCACAGAATCTCACCCACCCACTCCTGTAACAAACCCCTGACCTATGTCTGAGCTATTGAAATCCTCAAATCATAGTTTAAAGACTTCAAGGTGCAGAGAATCCTCCGGCAAGTGACCTGTGCCCCATGCTGCAGAGGAAGCCGGAAAAAAAACCCTGCCAATCTGCCCTGGAGGAAAATTCCTTCCCGACCCAAAATCTGGCGATCAGCTAAACCCTGAGCATGTGGGCAAGACTCACCAGCCAGACACCCAGGAAAGAATTCTCTGTAGTAACTCAGATCCCACCCCAGCTAACATCCCATCACAACCATTGGGCATATTTACCGCTAATAGTCAAAGATCAATGAATTGCCAAAATGAGGCTCTCTCATCATACCATCCCCTCCATAAACTTATCAAGCTTAGTCTTGAAGCCAGATATGTCTTTTGCCCCCACTACTCCCCTTGGAAGGTTGTTCCAGAACTTCACTCCTCTGAAACCTTCGTCTAATTTCAAGTCTAAACTTCCTGATGGCCAGTTTATATCCATTTGTCTTTGTATGTATGTGAGTGCTTTACCATGTAACAACTCTCTTCTCGTTCTTCCTTTCTGTTATAATAAACCTTTCATTTTAGATACTAAAGGACTGGCCGGCAGCGTGGTATTTTGGGTCAGATCCAACCTAATATTGACCTGGTAACGTGGCCGGCCCTTTGGGGTCAGAAGAACATTTCATTTAGTGAGCAGAGTTTATAAATAACTTCTCACTGTACTGGCCCCAGGTGCTGATTGGGAGCCAGTTTGTGACTGGTTGGTGAGTCTAACTTCAGTATTACCCACCAGTCTGGGGAGTGTCCTTGGCATTTTCAGGGAGGGCTACCCTAGGCACCAACAGCTCACAGCGTGTCTTTCACGGTGCAAATAATTCTCTCGTTTCTCTCTCCTGGTGAATAAATCTTTAGTTCATTACAGGATTGGCAGCAAGTGCCGTCTTTGCCATCCACCCCCTCTATCTATCCCCACACACCCATCTATCTCTCTGTTTACCCATCCCCATACCCCTATCTATCATCTATCTATCTATCCCCATCCACCCCCTTCTCTCTCCCTATCCCCATCCACCCCCTCTATCTATCTATCTATCTATCTATCCTCACCCACCCCTCTATCTATCTATCCCCATCCACCCCGTATCTATCTCCATCCACCCCATCTATCTATCCCCATCCACACACCCCTCTCTCTATCTATCCCAATCCACCCCCTTCTCTCTCTCTATCCCCAGCCATCCCCTCTCTCTATCTATCCCCATCCACACACCCCTCTCTCTATCTATCCCCATCCACAAACCCCTCTCTCTATCTATCCCCATCCACCCCTCCTATCTATCCCCATCCACCCCCTTCTCTCTCTCTATCCCCAGCCACCCCTTCTCTCTCCCTATCCCCATCCACCCCCTCTATCTATCTATCCCCATCCACACACCCTTCTCTCTATATATATCCCATACACCCTGTGACATACCCCTGGGGTATAACCTAGCCTGCGGGACCGCTGAGCCCTCTTAAACTCTCCAGCCTGGCCTGTCTCTCCTGACACCAGACCACTGACCAGCTACGAGCCTCTCCAGGTGCTGTGATCACTCAGCCATCAACACACAGGGACACCCCCAGCTGAGTTGCAGGAACACTCTCTCAGCCACTCATGAATTATACACAGGGAGACCCCAGCCAATTTCCCCAGACCACCCGCCTTGCGCCCCGGAGGTGTCCCCTCTTACGCCGCTCAGGACCTTCCCTTGACCAGTGCAAGCTCATTCATTCGTTCGCCCCCTCGTCAAAGGGAAGTGGACGCACACCCGCCTTTGTAATTGGAGTAGATTCCCCAACCACTTGCGACAAACTCACTGGGCAGGATAAACGGTTACACTGAGTTTATTAACTCCAGACAGCTCGATGGTCAGCCATTATAAGTGGTGGGCACAGAGGTCAAAGGTGGTTACCTAGGAAATAAAAATAGAGTCGCAGGCTAAATGTGAAACTTTATCAGACGAAGCAAGATTGGCATCAGACGGCTTTTCTCCCCCGCCCTGGCTGGACGTTCCAGGCAGCTCCCGGTTCTCAATATACAGGCTGGATTCCCTTCCAGCCTGGGACCAATCTCCCCAGTTCAAAGTCTTCGTCGCCCGAGCGATCGTCCAGGTGATGCGGGAGGGGAGAGGCCCAGTGGTGACGTTATGGACCCTCGTTGATACTTTCTCTCCAGGTGCTGGAAAGCCCCTGGCCGTGACGTGGGGGTCAGGCCGTCCCCATGGGGTACGTGCCCCCTCTAAGCAGTCTCCAGGAGAGTGGATTCTTCTTGATGGGCCCTCAACGCCTGTCTAGCCAATCGAGATATAAATCCGTCTTTTTTTTGTCCGTGTGCTGCTCCTTTCGTGCCACTGAAAGGCCGGCTGTGGGCGTTCCCACTGGCCACGTATTTCAGTGACAAACACGCAGCAATATCTCCTCGCTCCCCATCCAACGAGACCACGCACCAGCCAACAGGGCAGCAACGTTCAGCCGACCGTGTCATCTCAAACAGTACCTCGCAAGGCACGCGTTGCCCCAAACCCATCACAACCACATCACCGGGGTGAATATGGGGGTGCTATTTTGAGGTACCGAGTGTCACAGGCCCCGTTCTGCAATTTCCCCCCATCCTCTTTTTAAAGGCGCACCCCAAAACTGGGCTCCAGCTATAGTCGCACCAGGGCCAAACACACACGGAAAATCACCTCTCTGCTCCAACTCCAGGTTCCCCTGGTAGAGGTGCCTGATTGGCCACAGTGCAGGTGACAACTGGTGGTTCTGCCCTGTCTCTCAGCTCCCAGAGTCCCCCGCCTCCAGCTCAGTGCAGCGGGGCCTGGAGACCCCCAGCGGCCCTAAGCACCTGAACCAGCCTGCGTCCCGCCGAGGGAGTCGCACCCGCCGCTGACGAGGGCAAAGCGCCGCGACCTCCCCCAAGGGCCTTTTGCTAACGAGCCCAGCTGGGAGGCGGCCCCATTGGAACTCCACAGACTGAAAGGCGAATTAACGGGGGCCCCGGAGAGCCCTGAGCCATCTGCCCAACACTGGAAAACCAGAGCTAACGAGAGGAAGTTATTGCTGGGCGTCTGAGTGGGACAGAGATGATGACTTAAGAAGACAACCCAAAAAGATGACTCAACTAGATGACAGCTCAAACAGAAGACTCTAGAAAAAAGATGACTCAGGAAGAAGACAGGTCCAAAAGAGGACATCAGAAGAAAGTTACTGAAGAAGACAACAACAGAAGAAGACGAAGGAAGACAATGGCTGTAACAAAGTGGGAATTTTTTGATGACGCCTGATGTGTGCCTCAGTTTCCCCTACAGGCTGCATTGTTACCTAGTGGGTGAAAAGGGACAGTTTGCCCTCGGGGCAGGTGAAGACACAAGTGTGGATGGTGCCTCGCTGTCCGGAGCCTTGGGTCCCGTATCAATGGAGCTCTTGAGAAGACAATAGCAACTCCAATCACCAGGACGTGAGCACCTACCAACCAACAACCCAGAGCGATCTGGACGGCTCTGCCTCTCCGCAGGGGGGCTGAGCCGCATCTCCCCAGCTCGGGAACAAAGGACGAGGGCAGGGGGTGAGGTGGAAGTCAGTTCAGGCACACCTTGGAGTCTGGTAAAGGAGATGAGATGGAGGGACAGATGGAGCTTGACCAATGAGTTTCACTAAAGCCAAGCTGGGCTTTCAATCCTTTTGTGATAACTAAAGACTTCCTATGCTGGGTTCCGGCGGACTAATAACCCCGACTGTGTGACCGCGCTGGCCGAGTGTCCCTGAAGATGCTGGCAGAGGAGGTGCATTGCTCCCTAAGAAAGGACAAGTCTCCTTCGGGGGTCTGTCTCAGTGGGGCTCGCTGAACGGAGCTCATGCTGTGAAGCAAAGGTGCTGACACCTCAGTGATTCAGTCTAAGGAGGAGGTGAAGCTGTAGAATGGGACCCCGAGGGGGTCGGGCACATTGAATGGGGTTCCTCCCAGAGACTACCCAAGCTGGAGCTATAGCACCAATCCCGTGGATCCGTGCCAATGACTCAAGGAGAAGATGACGCAAGAAGAATCAAGACAATTCAGGAAGACAACACAAGAGGATGACTCAGGGAAACGGCTAAAAAGGAAGAAAACGCCAATGGAAGATGACTCTAGAAGACAACTGGAGAAGACTCAAGACTGAGATTACTCAAGAAGGAGATTATTCAAGAAAACAACAACTGAAAGAAGACTCCAAAAGACAGCAACTCAAAAGGAAAGGTGCTCAAAAAGAAAACAACTCAATAAGATTCAAAACACTGATGACTCAGTCAGATGATTTAAGATGATGACTCGTCAACTTGAAAAGGACGACCCAAGTAGAAGTTGACTGAGAAAGACAACTCAAGAAGAAGAGGACTCAAAAATATCAAGAAGACTCCAAAAGATAAGGACTCAATAAGAAAGTCAAGGTGAGCGAGGTAATATCTTTAATTGGCCAAAGATATTACTCCACCCACCTTGGTCCTCTAATATCCTGGGACAGACACAGCTATAGCTACACTGCATACAATAATGACTCAATAAGACAGCTTAAGAAGATGACTCAAGGAAAGGATGGCTCAGAAAGACAACTCAAGAAGAGAATCCATCGCTGTTGACTCAAGACGACAACTCCAGAAAAGTATGGCTCAGAAAGACAACTCAAGAAGAGAATCCATCGCTGTTGACTCAAGACGACAACTCCAGAAAAGTAGGGCTCGAAAAGACAACTCAAGAAGAGAATCCATCGAGGTGACTCAAAAAGAGGTTGATTCTAGAAAACAACTCAAAATTCAGCCATACCTCATCAGCCTCCGGCCCCCAAAGCTCACTTTAGAGCCAACCTCTCGACTGTACAGTGGAGTTCTTGCACTCCATCTCCTGGGCATTGGGGCGATCCAAGTCCATCCCAAGCAGCACCTACGTCCCCAGAGAGGCCACCATCCGGCTGATGGCTTTTCTCAGAGCCCCCTCATCTCATCACTCCTCGGGGTGTAGATGAAGGGGTTGAGCATGGGGGTGACCACAGTGTACGTGACAGCTGAAACAGCACCCTTTTCAGCAGAGAAGCTGGACAAGGGCTGGAAGTAGACCCAGATAACGGTGCTGAAGAAGACCGCTACGACAGCCAGGTGGGAGCCACCGGTTGAGAAGGCCTTGCGCTTGCCGTCGGGCAAAGGGACCTTGATAGGGTGACCAGACAGCAAGTGTAAAAAATCAGGACGGGGGTGGGGGGGTAATAGGAGCCTATATAAGAAAAAGACCCAAAAATCGGGACTGTCCCTATAAAATCGGGACATCTGGTCACCCTAGACCTTGATGACGGGGGACACAATGGCAACGTAGGAGAGGAGGATGAAAACCAGCACCCTGTTGACCACCAGGGCCTCCTCGGTGTGCACCACCAGGGCATTGAGCCCAGTGTCGGAGCAGGAGAGGTTCAGCAGGGGGAAGATGTCGCAGAAGAAGTGGGGGACCCTGTTGGAGGCGGGACGCAGGTGTGCAGCAGGGAGTGGAGGTGAGAGATCAGCCAGGAGGTGATGCCGAAGGCGATGAAGAAAGACATCTGGGCCAGGCAATCGGCGTTCTGGTCGCCCGTGGGCAAGACGGAGGAAGCCGGATGGGACCAGGTGCAGAGACGAGCAGCCAGGCTGGGGAGCCGGGCCTCGGCTTTCAGTTGAGATGGCTGCAGGATACGATGAGACCCCCGCGCGCATACACACCCCTAGGACAACGGGGGATGGGAGCCAGCCCAGGAACCGCCACCGTGTCAGAGGAGGACTTCGCTGGATATCGTTTAACCAGATTCAGGGCTTCCGAGCCTAGACAGGTCCACTGGGATCTCCTGCAAAACACAGGCTGGGCCAGGGCCCTGAGGGGCCCAACTTTTCTTTTTGCCAGTGGGTGCTCCTCTCCACCCCTCCCCCCCCCGTGCAAATGGTGGGCGGGGCCTCAGGGGAAGAGGCCGAGCAGGGGCAGCGCCTCAGGGCACCGGGGCTCACAAAATATTAATCCATCCCTCCCCTCTATCCATCCATCCATCCACCCATCCCTCCCCACTATCCATCCATCCATCCACCCATCCCTCCCCACTATCCATCCACCTATCCATCCCTCCCCCCCCTCCACCCATCCATCCATCCACCCATCCCTCCCCACTATCCATCCACCTATCCATCCATCCCTCCCCTCCATCCATCCATCCATCCACCCATCCCTCCCCACTATCCATCCACCTATCCATCCATCCCTCCCCTCCATCCATCCATC